AGGTCTAGAACAATTAAATGCAGCAACTGTGGGAATTTAGGGCACAATGCTAGAACTTGCAAAGGGGGTTTGACTGGAAAGGAACTTAAGTCAGTTCAGGCCATGGTTGCTAAAAACCCAAGAGTGAGGGATCAATCAAATGCTGCAAGGCAAACTAGAGCGCAGTCCAAAGCTGCAACATCTGCAACAGAGCTCTCATCATCACAATTGGCAAGCCAACCACAAGACTTGTCACAATCTCAACCTTGGCATCTGATATCATAGCTGCATGAGTAGTTCTGTAGGTTTTGATTTACTTTTAACAAACTTATGTAGGTTTTTGAACAGGTTTTATAAGCTTTAAGTACTGTTGAACTTGTTTTATTTCATTGTTGAACTTAGTACTAAATTGGCAGCAGTACTTGCTATGAATTTTTGTATGGCAATGCAACATTACTTAATTGTTAGATTGATATATATGAGTTTTTGTATGAAATAAGTTTCAGTACTTAATCGCTATTATTTTTGCTCTTAAAAAAGTACAATTAAGTTAAGAACTTGCAAGATTATACCAAAATACACCACTTTCATTTATTTCAAAGTAAAACACCAATTACAACTTAGTTCATCTATTTTAAACCAACAACTTAAAGGCAACTATTTCAAAATAACAATCAACAACACCAAATACATCACCACAGCCAATTTCACAACCAAATACACAAAATCAGCAAATTCATCCGTCGTGTGCATAAACTCTGTAAATTCTGCCCTTAATGCTTGTACAGACGCTGCTTCAGCCATGGAACCTTGCCTCTCTCCTATGTCCCTTACAATTTGATCTTCAGTCATCCACATGAAGAATTCACATAACCTGCATTTATAATATAGCCTTCCAGGATTAGCTGTAGAGTTAGAAAACCTAATGTCTGCAGGTCTTGGAGGTTGGCAGTTGCAATTCATGACTTTAAACCAATCACCTCTTCCATTTCTATTGCTTGAAGATGAAGCCTTGCCAGATGAAGCCATTGATTTTCCTGAGAAAAAAAAATGAAAGCAAAAAGAAAAGAAGAGCGTGAATGGAAAGGGGGAGTGCAAACAGGAAGGGAAGGTGTATAAGTAGGGGAAATTTCACAAAAAAGGAGGGAAAAATGGAAGGGAAATTTGGAGGGAAATTAAATGAGGGAAATTAACCTTTAAAACGCTGAACAGAGCTTCATTAACGTTTAGTTAACGGTCAAGGTCACGGTAGGTATTTAGGGAAAACTTTAGGTGTACCGGTGATAATGAAAGTTTAATGATGTGTATCATTGATAGAAGTCAAAACCTGGGGGTATTATTGATAATTTCCCTAAAATTAACCTTAGTTAATGATTTTAACTAAAATTTATCATTAATGCTATTGCTAATATATACTAAAAATACACGAGTATCAAAGATAATTGAAATTTTTACTGTTCACCAAAGAAAATATTAAAAAACTAATAAGCACCATTGAGAATTTCCCTTAAAATTTTTAATAATACGAGTACATTTTATATTCAATTTGAACAAATTACATCCATAAGTTTTAAAAAAGTTAGGAAAAGATGATTGTTAGCTGGGACATGCATTCTCTTTTAAACAGAAGGCTTATCATAAGAATATAAGATATGTACTTTTATTTCTCATTTAATTTTTTATTTTTTTTTTTATTGTGCTCTTACAACCTAATAAAAAAAAGTTGTAAAAAACTACCCAATATCTATATTCTTTTGTTCGTGTGAATCAATGCAAAGTGGTGGTATCCAAATATTAAATTTTAATAACATAAGCTTAGCATGTATATAATTAAAGAAAGGGTAATGATAGGTTGTTGTACACCTGTCAAAAATAAAATCCTAATAAAACCAACTAACAATGTAGTAGGGTAAGTAAGGTCGAATCCACATGAAGATGGTATTCTATCTAGCTTTCAAGGTATGAAGAAACTAAATTATGTCACGAGTTGGGATTAAAAGGTAGTCTAAACTATAATAAAAATAAAAATAATAAAAAGGTCTAGGGTTATGGTTCACCATGTTTATAGCTCTAAATCTATCAAAATATCATTAACAATTCAATCAATCAAGTATCTAGAGCAATTGCTAAGCCTATGGTCGGGTCTTAACGCTCTCGATTTAACATATGCAATACACTCGCTAACATAATCAAAATTGCTAACTGTAGGTAAGCTCTAAAAGTAAGATCTTCCTATTCAAACTCTTATTAACAATAATTAATCAAACAATTGATTAGGTTGCAAGATTAACAACAAACACTATCAATTAGAGAAATCATAAAATATCAATAATATCAATAAAGATTCATTATATAAACATGGATGCCCCAAACCTAGAAATAAACTACTCTAGCATGAAATAAATAATTAAACCTAAATCTAATAAAGAAAGCATAATTAACATAAAGAAATAAAATTACCTCTATAAATTAAAGTAACAAAGTCAAGGACAAATCTATGGAGGAATCCATAGAGTTGTCCATGAAAAACTAGGACTCAGGAAAATTTACAATGAATGTAAAATAATAAAAGGTATAAGGGAAAAATAATATCCCTTAAATATTTATATTATCCTAAAACCAATCTAAAGACAATTAAATAAAAAAAGATAAGAAAATTAAAATAACAAATGTTGTTCGATGATTGGACAATTAAAGGAGTCGTAGTCGATCAAGGATTGTCGTGACGATGGGGAAACGAGGCTCAGAGATGACCTGCTGCTGCTGGGCGCGGAAACCAGCAGCCGCTGGGTATCCATTGGGCCAAACAGAAGCTGCTCGGGGCCTGGGAGTGCCGAGCTGCGGGCACTCGTCATCCGCTGGTTCGCTAGATCGTCTTTTAGGGGCTATATCTTGAGTTCTGGGAAGCGTATAGGGGCGTGTGATCTATTGTTGGAAATCCCTTCAAGTCTAATTTCCAACGCAATTCAAAACGCTTCAATCGGATCTGTAGAACTCAATTTACGATCAAAAGAGTGATCAAAGGTCTGTTTTGACACTTTGCAAATTATCATCGTTTTCTTCGTTTCTAACTCAAATTCATCTACGAATGGTGCATTGCGACTCTTGTGGATGCTATTTTCAATCCGTATGCTTATAAATCTCGACCTAAGCCTCCAAAAACACATATCTTTCATTGAGTGACCTCATTTTATCGATGTTTCATCTTTTCATTGTTTGATTATTCCAAAACTACTCCGAAAGCGTCCAAATAATTATGAAAACTACCTAAAACATTAAGAAAACACTAAAAAAAAAGTTTAATAGAGCACAAAATGGACTACTTATGCATTTGCGGCATAAAAAACGACTAAAAGACCTAAAAAGCAACTATAAAACTAGAATAAATATGCTTATAAATCTTATATAAATGTGATTTATCAGGTAATACTATACGTAGCCCTTATGGTTACAATAAGCATTAAATATCTATCCTTATTTGGTATTAGTTTAGAAATGCATGAGTTTCATACTAAATGCTAGTGGGTACAACAAAAAAGGGAAATTCTCATTGGTACACCTCTAGAATTGGCTTTTCCAATTAGTACATTATTAACTTTTTGTTTTCCCAGTGGTACACCTCCTCTTTATGTTTCTTCCCATTGGTACCCCTCTATGTTATTTTTTGCTAAATTCGAGTTCAATTTGGACTCATTAAGGGCTAAAATAACTCTCAAAACCTTAACCAAACAGTTCTTAGTACCCGGGAAAAAAAAAAGACACGGAAACTGAGATATTTCTTGACACACACAAAACGAGACATTCACGTTTTTTTTAACAGTGCTTGAGCTCAATTGAACCCTTAAGGGTTAATATGACCCCCAAAAACCTTAACCGAACAGTTCTTAGAATGCAAATTAAGACATTGAATATTTTAAAAAGGGTTAATTTAGGCTTTTTCCTTAATTCGTTAACTTAATGGGTCCAAATTGAGCTTAAATTTAGCTAAAAAATAATGTAGAGGTGTACCAGTCAGAAAAAACATAAAGTAGAGGTCAAGTGTACCAGTGAGACGGCAGAAAGTTAATAGTATACCGATGGGAAAAGCCAATTCTAGATGTGTAACAATGAGAATTTCCCAATAACAGAAACATTTTTATACTCTAATATCGTACTAAATGCAAATTTATTACTCCTTCCATCCCATAATACTTGGGACGTTGGAGTGGACACGTAGTTTAAGAAAATTACAAGTGGGTTCATTTAAAACATTTGTTTATTATATAAAGGATTCTCTTTTGTATTTTTGTATTGTAAGAAAACAAAAAGTGGGGGAGGTGGGGTAGTGAGGAAAGAGACAATGTGGTATTTAAATGGGTCTTAGGGTTTGTGGTCCCAAAAACAGTATAGAAATTGTTTTTTTAATTATTGATCCCATTCCATATTAGTAATGTGTCAAGTATTTGAGAACGTACAAAAATGGTAACTGTGTCAAGTATTATGGAACGGAGGGAGTATTTTTTTTTTTTAAGGTAAAATGAAGGACCCTACTAAACCGGCATATTTTACAGGTTTAATCAGCCCAGCTCCGCAAGTTAACGCTTGAAAATAAAGGAGGGAGGTAAGGGAATCCCTCTACTCCCAAACTTTTTGTAGTTAATAGGGCTTAAACTCAAGACCTTAAAGTTAGAGAGTGAGTTCTCCACCAACTTCACCAAGCTTTGCTGGTATACTAAATGCAAGTGGGTAGAACAAAAAATAACAAAAAAATAAAAATCCATACTCCGTACTTAAAACAAGGCGTTTAAAAAATAGTCTTAAATGTACATTACACCCACATAATAAAAATAAACCCAAAGTTTTGCTTAATTTAAACAGTTAACACCCTTCCCGAATACTGCCAAAATTAGGTTCTTTCTCGTGTTAAGACTTTCAGATTCTATACAATATACCATGGATCTCATGAGTGTAGGCCCTATGTACGTGGAATTAACCCTTTAAACCCCCCCCCCCCCCTATTTCCTGTAACTTTGCCATTCCAAAGTAAGTGCAAAAAAACATCAAACTCATTATTTTCTCTTCATATTAATTTTCTCATTGATATTTCATTTGTTAAAAATGTCAAATGATGATAATAACATGAACAACGATGAGCAAGAAATTGCTTATCCTCAGATAAAAGGAAAGACGAAACTACATCGTTATGATTCCCTCGATCTCGAATCCGCTAATGTTAATGGCCACCATGGTCATGACTCCAAGGTAATTATCGTTCATTATTCTAATTTCTATGCATGTTAGTGTACATTTTAGGACAAGATTATTTTTATGAATTTCATTCAACTTTCAAGTTTAGATTTTCACGTTGTTAATTAGTTTAGCTTGCAATATTATCATCGTGGCAAGAAAATTGGAAAAGGTTGTTTCCCTTTTTTAAAACTTCTTTTATTTTTATTTTTTTTGACAACACTTCTTTTAATTACAACAATATAACGCTTAGGAAGACTGAATAACAAATATTAGATGTGATTAATTATGCTAATAATATAACTATAAAATTAAAAGCTAAACCATTTCATAACTTATATTCTCATCACTTCTTGCGAGGTGTGATTGTGTTATGTTTTATTATTTAATTCTTGTTTTTTGTTTCTGTGATTGATCCTCGTTAATACTAAAATATGTTTTGTTTTCATCACTTATCAAACAAGAGACAAAAATTATATTAAGAAGTCCCACCTATCAATTCTTCGTACCCATATCTCTCACTCTTTTTTTCATAATCCTAGTTCCTAATTGAATAACAACTCAAACAAAAAAAAAAAAAAAAAAAAAAAAAAAAAAAAAAAAAAAAAAAAAAAAAAAACTGACTGTAATTTTTGTGGAGTTGATTTGGAATATATACTATTCCTTTTTCATTACTGGTAAAATACATTCATTTTCTCCTTACTATACTTACGGAAGACTAATTAATTGTCAATCTAATGCAATGGCTCAATTTATTTTCTGTCGTTTGTTGTAAATATATAACATTTTGTAAAAAATAGTGAGGTATGTGTCATCCAAACCACTTACCAGATTTGTGCATGCCCTTAGGTATGTATTTCAGTGAAGTAAGAGAGTTGAGTTTTAACTCTATCTCTATTCCAACTCGAATTGGTTATATAGCGGTCATAGCCAAATGAGAACTATAACAATTCTCTATTACTTTTTCTATATTCTCCTAAGCAAATCAACGCAATGTAAAATACTCCTTTTTTTCAAAATAATATTAAGATAATTCTAATAAATACTCCGTACTTACATAACTATATGCATCTATTAACGGTGCAAGTAATATAACAAGCTGAAAATTTTAATAATGAAAAAAATAATATTTGACTTGTCGTTACATTATTAATATAGCATGACATTTATTTTCACATCTTGTTTTCCATAATTAGCTAACTCCAATAAATTAATTTGATATTTTTTTTTTTGGTTGAATAGGATGTAAGTTGGGCAGTGGTATTGTCGTTGGCTTTCCAAAGTATAGGTGTGATTTATGGAGACATCGGTACTTCGCCACTATATGTGTATGCAAGCGCTTTCTCGGATGGAATTAAAAATAGAGATGATATATTGGGAGTTCTTTCACTCATTTACTATACAATTACTTTGCTACCCTTGATCAAGTATGTCTTCATTGTCTTGAGGGCCAATGACAATGGAAAGGGTAAGTCATCATTTTATTTATTATTTGGGCCTTAAATTTCAAATTTTATATTCTGTTCTCTATTGTTCTATCTAATTTTTTTAGCAGTATTGACCATTAAAATTGATATAATTTGTTAGCTTAAGATTCAAAAAGTTATTTTTATAAAAAAGGGAGGAGAAATTATTATGTACTAATAAAATTTTACAAGTATAATTTAATACACATTAATAGTCGGATAGTAGTATAGCCAAAAATATTGACTTTGTATCCCTTGTGATCAGTATTTTACCAAATATACCGTACTTGAAATTATTTTCAAATTTGAGACGTGACACTATATTTGTGAGCTAATCAACTGCCTGACTTATCTCATGTTATTGTTAAATTCAATTTATATATTCATTGAACTCAAAAATAAAATTCTACCTCCTTTTCATATTAATTACAACAAAGGGGTATTATTAATAAAAAAATATCTTTATTACAATTAATGTAAAATGGAGGTATTTTAATTTTTCCAGGATGATGAGTAAAGGCAATACATTATTACATAAAGAAACAAAATACTACAATTGTTGCATGCATACCAATTATGAGCACTTATTTAAGAAATCACGTACCGTAGTCTTTTGAAGAATATTCCTCAAAAATAAAAAAAAATAAAAAAATAAAAAAAAGTTTTGAAGAATATTGACTATTTATATTATTTACTTGTAATCCGTATGTAGGAAAATTGATTTTAGCACACCTTTAATTGATTTTGGTACACCCCTATGTGAAGAGCATAGAAAATTGTGCTCTCACATAAAGGTGTGCCAAAATCATTTCCCATATGTAGTCGTTAGGTGTATCCCTTGCGCTTGGATGTTGACGTCACGCTAACTAAATTTAAGAATATTCCTTACGTGATCACTTGCATATTCTCAAAGTGGCATGACTATTAAGCACATGTTATAATTACAAAGTCAATATTGTCGCTTATTTGTATGTTTTAGCCTAACTCTTTAGTGCCTTGTTGTCCTTTGAATAAAAAACTAGTCCATATTAGATTTATTGTACTCCCTCCGTTAAATAATATTAGTCCCATTTATGTTTAACGGTGTAAATATTTAATCGTAAATATCTTTAATCTCACATTAACAAAATGTTATGAATTCTTATCATGTTTCAGCTAGATAAAAAAAAAAAGTTATGGATTATGTCAATACATATTTACATACACATAGGGCATAAATTGTTTTTGAATTTGTCCAAATATATTCCAAATGCCAAAATTTTGTAATATTAACATATCGATAAAAATATATATTACTGATCAAAGTCGTGACACGGAAATAGGTGGAACATTTGCGTTATATTCCCTTCTATGTCGAAATGCAAAGGTGGGTTTACTCCCTAGTCAACAAGCAGAAGATCAGGATGTATCAAACTATCAGCTTCAGTTGCCCAGCAATCAATTAGGATTACCATTGAAGCTCAAAACCTTCTTAGAAAACAGCATAATTTCCAAATACATTCTTTTGCTTGTGACAATGCTCTCAACTTCCTTGGTCATAGGAGATGGTGTTCTCACTCCCTCTATATCAGGTATCCATCTTATTTTTCCTTCTAAATTACATTATAGTATAAAGTACTTATTTGAATAATATTAAGTAAGCATTATCAAATAATAAATATTAATCGCAATAAAAGGTTAACATGAAAAATACGTACTACGCCCTATGTTCTTTAATGATCTGTATACTTACAATACTAGTAATTACTCCGTATTAGCATATAAGGCGAAGTAAGAGACTAGGACTAAGAGGTGAAAAATGAATGACTATTATTTTCTGGACAATTTAATATATTGATCTGACCCCTTTATCATGTAATGTACTTCCTTCGTTTTTTTTTATAGCTACAATAATTTGACTTTTACACTGTTCATGTACTCTACTTTGACTAGCTTTAACGATTTATGGTTAGACAAAAGTATAGTCATGTGGAATCTTGTTAGATTCATCTCAATTTATACTATTACAATATCTAATGTTTATAATTTTTACATATTCACAATTAAAGATATTAATGATTGAAATAATGTATAAGCAAGCGTGAAAAGAGAAGTGTTGAAGTATAAAATAACAGAGGAAAGTATGTCAAGAGAGTTTTAACTAACATGTTCTACGTACATTTGATATCTAGTATTATCTGCGGTTGGAGGGTTAAAAGAAGCTTCACCTGCTTTCACAGAAGGTAATAACAAAACTTATTTAACAACTTTACAATTAGCACTTTTTGAAGTTACGATTGATTTAAGTCACAAGCTAAGCTAATGTTTCTTAGCAATATAATTATAAGTTTAATATATACTTGTATAAGTATGATACTAACTCTTTCTTCTGAATTTCTTTCATAGGAAGGGTGATCTGGATATCTGTTGGCATTTTGATTATTCTTTTCTCTGCTCAAAGATTTGGAACGGATAAAGTAGGATATAGTTTTGCTCCTATAGTCAGTATTTGGTTTATAATGAATGCTGGAATTGGTGTTTTCAATTTCATTAAGTATGATCCTACGGTTATTAAAGCTGTTAATCCATGGTACATCATTCAATATTTCGCAAGGAATGGCAAAGATGCTTGGGTTTCTCTCGGCGGTGTAGTCCTTTGTGTCACAGGTTTAATTTGTCACAACCCTCATCTTAGTTTTATTTGAATTTATGTTATTGTTAGTTGGGAAGCATTTTTCTTATCGTACATACACGTAAGAAACAAAAGTTGCCCATCTGCAGGGACTGAAGCATTATTTGCTGATGTTGGACATTTTTCTGTTCGGTCGATCCAATTAAGTATGTCATCTGTTGTATACCCTTCCCTTATGTTAACATACTCGGGGCAAGCATCTTTCCTTCGATTGCATCCGGATAAAGTTGGTAATGCATTTTATAACGCGATACCAGGTAATAATCAATTGCTTTGCAATTCCTCTGCTATTTTATTATGTACATCAAGTACTTTAGTGTAGCTAATATAAAAAGTGTAACAAGAAATTTGATTGTTTGATTTTCTTTTTTTTTTCTTGTTCAGGTCCATTATATTGGCCCATGTTTGCTGTAGCTGTTCTAGCAGCGATCATAGCTAGCCAAGCCATGATATCCGGGACATTTTCTATCATTCAACAGTCCCTTGCGTTAGGATGCTTCCCCCGTGTCAAAATCGTTCATACATCAGCAAAACTCGAAGGTCAAGTATATATCCCAGAAATTAACTATATCCTCATGTTGGCTAGTGTACTTGTAACGATTGCTTTCAGAACAACCGAAAAGATTGGTCATGCTTATGGTACGATACCAAAATCCATGCTCTAAACACGTCTTTTAGTTGTCTAGATTGATTGTAAATTTGCTTTAACTGATAATTCACATTCATATTTCAGGCATTGCAGTGGTGTTTGCTGAGACAATCACTTCGAGTTTCATAGTTCTTGTAATGCTTGTGATTTGGAAGAAGCACATATTATTGGTGATAATGTATGTTTGTTGCATTATGTCCGTAGAGTTCGTTTACTTGAGCGCAGTACTATACAAATTCCCACATGGCGGATACTTTCCAATAGCATTTGCCGTCATTCTACTGACTATAATGTTCATTTGGAACTATGTGTATCGGAAGAGGTACTACTACGAGATGGTGAATAAGGTCTCCCCTGATACTTTAAGGGAGATTGTTAGTCGAAGCAACTTATGTCGTATTCCAGGGCTAGCAATCTTCTACTCGGAACTTGTTCATGGAATACCTCCTATTTTCAAGCATTATGTGGAGAACATCCCTGCTTTGCATTCAGTGCTAATTTTTGCTTCTGTAAAGTCATTGCCTATAAGCAAAATCCCTCCAGAGGAACGATTTCTCTTTCGTAGAGTCCACCCTAGGGAGCTCAATGTATTCCGTTGTGTGGTAAGGTATGGATATGCTGAAACTCGCAATGAGGAGGAACCTTTTGAGATGATGCTAATAGAGAAGCTAAAAGAGTTTATTAGGGACGACTTTTGGGTTCATGGGAACGATGCTCAAACTCAAATCAAGAATCCTCAGAGTGACGAAGAGGATACCATCTTCCATGGGGACGATGATGAGAATGAAGAATACACGTTAAGGGCTAAGGAGGACGCGTTAGGAAATGAAATCGAGGTAATTGACCGAGCACGACTTTCTGGTGTTGTACACATGATGGGTGAAAGCGAAGTGATGGCAAGTAAAGGGTCTAGTGTTGTAAAGAGGATTGTCATTGATTTAGCATTCAATTTCTTAAGGAAGAATTTGAGACAAAGTGATGAGATGTTCGACATTCCTCGTAAGCAATTGCTTAAAGTTGGTATGGCATATGAGCTTTAAGCTAGAAAAGGTAAAAACTAGATATTAACCATTTTCATCTAAAAATTTTACCCTTTATGTAACAAGATCAAAAGTTTAAGTATTAGACATCATAAAAATCGATGTAATGCATTTGGTTCAACAAGGAAAAGCAATTCAGCACAAGCATTTTATTGTCTTAATTTTGCTTTACTTACTTTATAATTTCTGCTTAAACATCAAAAACAACAAACCTTGCCAAGGTTAAAGCATAATTTAATTATATTACTCTATTATACTCATAAATTTGTTTCAATTTTTGTGTTTTTTATTATTTTTGGTCATTTAAAAGTACCACTGTAACATTATAAATCATTGACAAATGGAAAGTTTGACTTCTTACACTATAAAAAAGACCAAATTTGTTTTTTTTAACACTATTAAAAGAAAACTTTAATTTTATTTTAACACCGCATAAAAAATAAAAATGAAAAAAAAAAAAAAAAAAAAGATTTCAACACTTGTTAAACAGGTCCTTCATACTATTCAAAAAAAAAAGATTTTATCTACCTTTTGACTATTAAACACCCCGACGGACCCGAATTTCCGTTGGAATTTTTGAATTTTCCAAGAAATTTAAATTCGTCGGAAAATTCCGTCGTAAAACCCCTGTTTTCTAGTAGTGATCAACAAAAGCAGCAATAATAATCATCAATTTTATTTTTTTTTAAATAAAGGGAAATTCTCATTGGTAGCCAGCAAGTTTGGCTAATTATCTTTGGTGGCCAAAAACTTTTTAAATTATCTAAATTAGCCATATAATACTGTAACTTAATTAACTCAATCAACTCAATCCAAGTTAGTACATGAGTTGATTGTTGACATGTACTAACTTGAAAAAAGGGTTGAGTTGATATGTGCATGTACTAACTAGGATTGAGTTGATTGTTGACATGTACTAACTTGAATTTTTGTAGATATAGGGTTTGGAAAAAAAGAGTTTGAAAAAGGGTTGAGAATTTATCTGTACTAACTTGGATTGAGTTGATTGAGTTTGAAGGCCCTATCGACCTAGAACCTCTTCAGTCTTCACAAATCAACTCAATCCAAGTTAGTACGGATAAAGAGATAAAGATTGGATATGTGCAATATGCTCTACTGATAAAATTGGAAAGCCAATATTGAATCACAAATCACTATGCAATGTCATTCCTAAATGTTTAATTCGCAAAGACATTGTTAGACTGTTAGTCAAGCTTTAGTTTTATCAATATTCGCAGAAAAAATGAGTTATCAACATATCATAAGCCAAAGGAAAAAAAAAAAACTCCACAAGGGACATTGTATATTTGTATTTCATCAAGACTTAATATATACAGTACAAGCCAGACAATGCAGCCCATTTCTTGTTTGCACATAACAGCGTCAAATCAATCAAGTATTTACGTCCTACAAAAATTTTCAGCTCACTAACAGGTTAAGCTAATCATTATAACTCAAATTCGGCCACCCCCTCCCCTACCACTCTCCCAAAAAAGAACTACCTTGCTAACAATTCCAACCCCTTCAACAAGAAAAAAAAAAACGTAAATTATTTAAAATCCAGGAGTAACAGATCGAATTTTCTTCTTTAGCTGCATGAGAGATCATGCAATTCAGATTTTGCTACTTTGTTTATGGAAACCCAAATTATGTAGAGGCCCCAGCTGCAGCACGTTTGTTACATTCTCCTTGCTCTTCTTTGGAAAATTCTTCTATTAGTTCCCGCTGTCTTGGGGTCAAGCTCCTGCCAATTATTCATCACCCACATAGCACCCTCACATTAGATAGGAAATAATGATTGTTGAAGAATCCCTAAAACACATGTAAAATCCCTACAAAAATCATTGGCACTTGAAAACTAAGCAAACTTACGTTGGGATGCTGACATTGAAGTGCACAAACTGATCCCCAAATGAGGCAGAGCCCCTTGCTTTAATTCCTGCAAGAATCACATAACGTAACAAGATTTCAGGTTACAAAACTTCAGCATGCATGATGCCACACAGGGCTCTGTAAACCCAGTGGACGGGAAATGTTAACTATATCCTAGAAAACATCTCCTACCGTACTGATGACCAGATTCCTGAAAACTAGAGGTTAAATAAGTTGCTTGATTGGTTTGGGGATAAGATATAGCTAGAATGTTATGAGTACAAATTTGAGCATGAAAGATATTGCCTAGAAAAGAGATGGAGCAACAAACTTGTCTATTTCTAAATAGTAAGTTAAAGATGACCCTTCTATTAAAGTTGAGAGAATGCACTCATATTTAAAACAACAGAGTTGGATACTACTATTACTACTAATAAAGTTTTGTATTATATATTTTGCAAAACATATCAACAGCTTCCTTACATGATATAATAACAATCCATGTTCCTCAAATCAGAATCACAAACCATACAAATTTATGTAAAGGGATTCATACAATTGGGGAAACCTTATGGGATAAAATTGGCAAACATGCAAAAATGCAAAATACAGCATTCAATAATGCCTTCCGCTCACCTTTTTTCTTCAGCACAACCTTCTGACTTGGTTGGGTCCCAGGACGAACCTTTATCAAAGAAAAGAAAAAAAAATTGAGTTCAATATGAATCTTCACTGCCAAAAAAACTTCAAGATATCTACGTACAGAAAGACATTGCACAAACCTTAAGAACAACATCTCCAGTCAGAGTTGGAACCTGGATTGTCCCACCCAAAATTGCCTGCATAAGGGATTCAATTCTCAAAGATTAATAATAACCTTTGGTAAGCCAAACAATGAGGAGAGAGTTTTATCACTGATCATATTAAAAGGCTTGGTGTCAGGAATTACTAACCATAAGTTGAAAAAAAAAAAAAAAAAAACACATACAATCTGTTCATGCTCATAAAGATGTAAAAGTGGGTCGTGGCACATACAATCCTTCCAGCTTTATGCTATATAATTCTAAATAAAATAGTCTGGCTCTGGATATAGGAATGACTATGTTTTAGCTTTTACAATTCACCTTACTGTGGTGTTCATGGAAAATTCTGAATTTACCCTTCAGGCCTTCACTATTTTGGATTTGTTGCAAATGCATTTTGTGGGGTTCAGATGGCGCAAGGAGAAGAAGATGCTACATTGCTATTCTTTAGGAAATTCCTGTTAGCAGAATTTACGCATCTTCACAGGAGCTACTAGTCATGCAATTTGATGTGTGTGATACAATAACTTATTGTTATGATTCCAAGATGATCCAAGTTAATGGAAGAAAGATCACAAGTGGTTTTGATGTGGAACAAGGTGAAGAACAGATATCTAGATGAAAACTCAATCACTTAAATGTTCTAAGTTTTATATCTTTAACAAATAAAGGTGTTCTTAATGTCAGAAGAAATGTTTAACAATCCTGTTTTAACCAAAAATGAAATTAAATATTGCAACCTTAAAATTTTTATTTTATTTTTAAGAACAAATTGCAACCTTAATTTTATTAAGTCATGTAATCTAAAAAAAAAAAACACTCCATCCTTTTTTTATTTATTCTACCTAATTCTTGTAGATCCGCAATTTAAGAAAATACTGAAAAAGGTGAATGGGCGTAACATCAAGTGGGATAAAGTAAGCAAGAGAGAAAAAGGAAAACACAATAAGACAAAGTGTTGGTAAAAGGGGTAAACCTAAAATACAATTGAGAAAAATGAGTAGAACCAAAAAGAACGGAGCAAGTACATCCCATATAAAGCTACTAACCCCCCTAGCATTACTATAGAAAATTCTTACAAAAAAACAAGATAACTATGCTAGTCTAATTTTAAAAAAAGAATGATACATCAACTAAAGCTAAAAAACAACCAGTGGCGGAGCCGGGGGGGGGGGTGCTGGCGTGGGCCATGGCCTCCCCCATGGCTGTAAATATTTATTAGAGGTAGTAATAAGTCATGCTAAGTTGTAGTAGAGATTAGTGAGGTTGCATTGTTCATTTTGTCTTCCTCTTCTTGGGTTCGAATCCTGTGCCTTGCAATTCTTTTTGTTTATCTTGCTTTAATACCCTCATCGCTTGTAGTATCCAGTTTCAGGTCTTTGGGCATTTGCCTCTCTATTTCCAAAATGTATTCAACTAAATATTTTACTTTTAATAAAAACATTTGGGTTCACTCAGTTAATTTACATTGTTCTAGGATTGGAAATCATTGTATTTTATATTATTAAATTTTATATTATAGCAAACTAGCAAAGTATATATCGAATTGTTTTTTAGTAAGAATGAGAAATGAGTACATACATAAGATTTGGCCCCCCTAACAAAAAAATTCTAGCTCCATCACTGATAACAACTATTTATTTGCAAAGAATAAATAATTCCTCCTATAACCCTCTTAGCCTCTTCTACTAAGAAGCACAAAGGAACCTAGCTCACATATGATCATAACCCAGTTAGTACTTTTAACCTGAAAGCAATCATCAAGCTAAAAAATTAGACTTGGGTAGGTTTATTGATATCGTACCACTTAATTATCATCCTTGTGGGGTAAATTACTCATTCAAGTGTTACGAATTGAGCCTAATTTTGTAAAGATGCTGCTGAATTAGGACAGCTGTAATCCTACTTTCATATTTAGTTTCTTTGTTCTCCGACTCGATACGACGCTCAACACTGTCCAGAAAAGTGTCGGAAAACAAGTGTCGATATCCAATTCACCGTTGACCCAATTATCTTTTTTGTAATTTCAGACCTAGTTTTGACCAAAAACCTATATTTAAAATTCATAAAATGGAGGACACCTCCAGGAGATAAAACGATAGGGCTTATTGAAACCTGAGAGGTGCTTTTCTACAATGGATATATCCGCCATAGGCCCATGGCTGACATGGCAGCTGTTTCATGAGAGCGAAGAAAGCGAAAGAGGGAAGAAAGCTTTAGTGTTGTATTTAATTGATGATGGGGCATGGAAATTGATCTAGATTTAATTCTCATACTCACTACATTTAATTGAAAGGTGGGGTAAAACAGAAGTAGGCCATGTGGCTTTTTATGGAGTAGTTTTATTTATTTTCCATGTATAATACTTCATCTGTTTGGAATCAGTTGCAACATGGGTGTGGGCACAGAGATTGTGGAAAAGGGAGTTAGTGGGTTTTAGACCCCACGTGGGGTATGAGATTAGACAAAGAAGCCCTTGAATAATGGAAAGGGAGTGTTGGTATTTTATTAGGAACAACTTACTAATTAGTGATGTCGCAACTAAACAAAACATCCATTTTAGGGAAGTGTTGCATCTAATTCCAATTGGAGGAAGTATCATTCTTTTAATGCTTGAACTTATGTTCATCTTATTGTTTTTTAAATTGTACAATTTTTAAATAATATGAAGTGTCCAGACACTTTATATGGTTAGCTGTATCTAAGTGCATCGAAGTGTTGGCCAAAATTTTGGAGTAGAGTGTTTGATCCTTTGACACCGTGTCAGACACAACATCCAAATCCGAGTCAAAGTAACAGAACTATATTCTTTTCTTGTATAAGCAAAAGAAACTATTCAACCAAAAGCATGAACAAAAAAGCAGATAAAAATAAGAGCCATTTACCTGGGTAATACTCAAAACAGCATCAACATGAATGTCAGAGCCTTCTCTTCGGAAAACTGGGTCTTCTCTAACCTGGGGTGCAATTTGGTAAGATCATTGCAGCAGCAGAACTAGCAATGGCAACAGTAGATACCAGGAACAAGAATTAGCAAGGATACCTTAATGACAACATAAAGATCACCTGGCCCGTATCCATCAGGATCAGCTCCACCACTTCTAGATACCTTGATTGTTTCATTATTATCCACACCTGTAAACACACCAAAATGTCACTATCGGTAAGGAGCTGGTTTCCACGACATAAAAAGAATGGTTATCATCCAGCCTCAAGCTGGCTGCTTCTAACCCAGCATATAATTTCACACCACCAAAAGGAGACATGGGAAAGCCATAATGACATATCACTTTAAAATATAAATAAACTTCTTGTGTTGATTTTGAAATACCACTTATACCACAGAAAACACAAACATAAGCTAGTTGCAATTATATATATAGGATTTGCAAGTACTTCTTGATGCCACTGTCCATGTAAAGTCGGTTGTCACATGTAGGTTTGCAACATGGTGCAATCGCCTTTATCTGGGAGCTCCAGATTCATTATAAAAGCAACGCCAATGATCGGCATTAAAATTAAAAAAGAGGATACCACCAATGGTCTAATGAGAAAACGCCCATAGGCAAATACAAAATGGCAGCAGCGTGGGCATATTTGGTGGGAAAAATTAAAGTGGAAGTGGGCCCCACTTGTCTAACTACATGGGTAATTTTTTATTAGTTTTGTCACATATAGAAAGAAAATATGGTACATATTGAAAAGGCCCTTTCTTGAAAGGATTCGTCCTCGAATCCAATAGGACTTCAACAATGACACAAATAATCACAACATAACAAACCACTAGCTTCTTCCCAATGTTGCATGTACCCATATCATATAGCATGGATGGAGTAGTTAAGTAATCCTCCTTTGGAATGAACGTATGTAAAGACTCCACCTTTGTCAATTATTCTTCCTTGGCCACAAAATCTGGAACACACAAACTTGTAGGTCTCTCATATGATACTACAAAACATTTTACCAACGCTCCTCAATAATGCAGCCTTGGTGCAATCCCATCAACATATCTGATTCTTGATGTAAATCATCATTAACAATAAATTTCTTTCATTTTTCACCGTAGAAAATAAAGATTCCAAAATTTGTCAACATCTAGTTTAATATTCTTACTAAACGCTTGGCTTTTAAGTAGCCATTGTTTTTAACCACTCCGGCATAATTTGTCAACGATAAAATCACAATTGGAACAAATCCATAATCAATAAAATTTAAAAGCTCGAACAATTACTCCACCACATCCCTTAAACTCACAGTTACAATTTAATTCATCAAACTAGTTAATATCAAAGTTAAATTTATCCCCATCACTAGTCTCACCAAACCAAGTTGATGCAATTGGCAACCCAATATTGACTCTTGAAAGAAATCACAGCTAACAATTCTTTTTTCCTTTTTCATAAACTAAGATCGTGCAAGTAGGGAGAACTCACAATCCTAGGCTTTTGATACCAATTTACTGCGGACATGAATGGATGGAGGGTTGTATATGGATTTAATGGTGGAAAATTGTAGGATAATCGGAGAAAGCAACAAATTCTAAGTTTGATCTTAGAAGCAGCAATCCTAAAACCCTAGTTAACAATTAGTTTGAACCTTAACAAAGTTCTCTTCAAGCAAAAGCTCAACAATCTAATTTTTATTTCATAAAACATCTAAAATTGTTGACATTTAATAATATATATAGGAAAATAAAACTAACCTAATTGCTCCGCAAGCAGACTAAATAAATGCCCTAATAAGCAATTGATGAACCATGACATCCCGATAACTAATTAACATAACTTTAGAAGCCGAAGGCCCCATAACTAATACTCCCTCCAATCCTATTTGTTCTATCCATTTGAGTATAGATAAGAGAATCTTCTAAATTACTCTCAGTATATGAAACAAAGCATAATCATATTGGGTTTTATATGATTTGTCTCAATGAGTAGTTTATTAATATTTAACTGTTACATCTTACATCTTCACTAATATGGAACTAAAGATATTAACGGTTAAAGTAATGCATTCACAAATAGTCAAGGGAGTACTAAAAATATTAATAAAAACTCACTTGTAAAACCCCCACTTTAAGAGTATGGTATAACCAAAAGAGTACCTAAATAAAGCAATAAAATAGTTATAAGAATGGTAACTCAATTCTAATGGTACATATTATGAGTTTTTTTTTTTTTTTTTTTTCTTCTTGAAAACTGGTTCATATAATTTTCAGTTTGCTGTATTAACAAGCCAAAGACTATCAGATTTCAACCCAAAGTTATCTGATTGTTGTACAAGTCATCATTGTACTATTTTATGACATTTTTCTAGTCCAAGAATATGCATGATTGTATAAGTTATCTTTCAATTAAAGAACAGGTGCTGGATATGAAAAAAATAAATATAAACAAATGGAAGAGATCCACTTTTCCATCTCTCCTGAGATACGCTGAGAGATCCTTACAGATATATAAATTGTAGCCTTCTTAGCTTGAATTACATATAGACACAACCAACCCCCAATTCCAAACTCCAAAAGCACATATTATCAATAATTTGGAAATAATAATGGATAAGGTCATATAACGTAATTAAAAGAAACACATAACCAGCTACAAACAAAAACATTTATAATCTGCTAATCAAAAAGAAGCTTTTACCAGGAATAATGTCCAGTCGGACAGACTTTGATCCCAGCACCACTCGATTACCATTGCAAGACTTGCAATATGTCTGTATGCCGCATATCAAAAACAAAAAAAGAACTGTCAGATTCAACATATTATTCATAACATGCAATGTCTGAATGCTACATACCAGAGAAGGTACTAACGAAAAATTTGATTGAATCTAGAGAATGGTTCACCACCCGAGAAAAAAAAGTCAGCATTATAGCAAAGAGATCCCAAATATGTATGAAGCTTTCAAGTTATGGACAGATGGACTGGCAATTCATCAGCAAAAAGGATGCTCTAAGAAGAAACCATTAATGACAAATACAGTATACATATTTAGTTGTGGTGCGAAGAATACTTGAGAATATTGTTGCAACTAAAACCTATTTCAACCGTTTTATCCAAATTCAAGCCGTTGGTGAATTAATACATATGAGAAGCTCAAATTTTTATGCATGATGGTTCGAGTAGGTATTGTTCTTGAACGTTTGATTACAAATACCTTTGAGTAGCATCAGCCAGGGAAATTGCATCCAGAAAGAAATTGTCATAGAATAGAAATGCATAGGAAGTTTTGCAGCCTACCGTAAAGTGCAAAAACCATTGCCAGGCCTAAAGCTCCTATTGCTGCTTGTACATCAGCTAAAGAGGGTATGCCTAAAAGAAATTTGTAGCTAACAAGGAGGCAACAGGTTTGATGCAGGGAGAACACTGTTAGTCAATTGCCTCCTTAGTGTTCTTTCAGCGTTATATATATATATATATATATATATATATATATAAAATATGCCACTAAACTCAAATTTCATTGGTCAAAAGTAATCTAAAAGGTGGGAAACATGACTATAAATGATGTTCATTTTTTTTTTCACTCCCTAAATTTGACAGCTAAAATGGGACATAGGGACTTGGGAGTACAAGTCAGTGATTTTACTTTTAAAAAAAATATTTAAATAAAACTTATTCACAAAACATTCCAAATTAGTATTCCTATTCCCTCATCTCTCTTTGAACTTCCTCAGTTCAAAATCTTCATTATTGATATGTTAAAAATTACAATGGTTTGTGTTGTAAGAATATCATTGTTGGGTTTTTCTTGAAAAGCATTTTCATAAGAATTTTATCCCAATACACTAATATATTACGGAGTACAAATGAAAATAATGGTCAAAGATGGTTCTTGATAATTGAGACAATTTCTAGAACAAAGCTAAAAGAGTTACTTCCTCTGTTTCACAACAATTGCATCATATTGACCTTTTCCACTATTCACATATTGATTTTGCCCATGTTTAATACTCCCTCCGTCCCTTATCTACATGTCTATTTCTCATTTTTCACGGGAATTAAGGAACTTAAAGATTTCTTAAAACCCATGATTGGGAAGTACAAATGTGCATGTGGGGTTAGAGAGAGATAGAGAGAAAGAAAAGGTAGTTGGTAATTATTGAAGAGATAGAGAGAGGAAGTGTTGGAAAATAATGTCAAAAGTACAAAAAAAAAATAAAGAAAATTGATGACAACTCATCAAAAAGAGAGAATATTGTCAAAAAGTACATTCTTTAAATAGAAATAGGCATGTAGTTTTGAAACCCCCAAAAAGGAAAGTAGGCATGTAAATAAGGGACGAAGGGAGTAGCTAATATGTAACAATAAATATCATTATTTTAATTGTTGTTTGGTTAGTCTCTATATATATATATTTAAAATATTTTTTATGATTTTGTTGAAATATAATTATAATTAAGGTCAAAGTATTGCATTAATAAACGTGCATGATCAAAATGATGCAACTATTGTCAACGGAGGAAGTTGCTTAGAAGTTTTTCATGTGAAGTTACAATTCCTAGAAAGTGCAAAATGTTGTTTGGTTGATAAAGAAAAGTTACCAAATCAAACTTATCATTAGAAATACCACACAGTTTTCCAAAAGATAATAAAAGATTCTACAGCAGAAAATAAACAAAATTCACAGGGCAAGGACCAAAAAATAAACAAATTACAAACATTCTTACAACATTTGAACAGAACATCACTGGTGGAAATCTTGTAATGACACAGAAACAAGAGTACATATATTTCATGACATGAAAACAGGAAACCCACTTCAACACAACAGTTGAAATCACACAAGAAAACAATAAAGTATGGCAGTTTTTTAAATGTTAACTTTTGTTATAGCATTGATAAAAATGCAGCAGGGAGGGTGTAAATAACATGTGTTCAAAGTTGATTTCTACATGAAGTACAAACTAACATATTTTCAATGATCACCTGATTTATTTACAAAAAAATTATAAAAAATAAAATTGGCATAAGCAAAACAACAGAGTGGGGTAGGGCATATATCATATCCATTTAACATGAAGCATCACCGCATAAATAATCAGTGCATAAAAAAACCAACAGGGGAAGGGGGGGGGGTGGGGAGGATGACATTAGATCCATTTAACATGAAACATCTCGGCATAAATAATCAGTTCATAAGCACAAAAATCCAAACATAAACAAAAGGAAACAGACTGTACCGTATATGTTTTTCCAGTTCCATTACAATTAATACAAGTAGTCTGAAAGGCAATTGGACCTTTTTCCATGAACATCTGAAAATCAGAAATACAAAATATCAGGATAAGAGATTATAATTTATGTATAATCAGATAATGAATAAAATAAAAATTGTGCTTTATTTCACAGACCATGCCTTTCCCTCTACATCGTTTACATGTCTCAGGTTTGGTTCCAGGAGGAACACCTGTTCCGCCTAAAATAGATAACAAAAGACAAATATGTAAGAACTGGAGCAAGCTGATAAAAAATATGCAGTTTTGGATTATAAAATAAATAAAATAACAGAAAGATCTTGAAAATACATTACTAGGATAAGGGGGAAACAACATACCACAAGCTTCACAGTTTAAAGTTGTTTGATATTTCACTGTTTTGGAGCAACCCCGAACAGCTTCCATGAAGGATAACTCTAAGGATAACTTCACATCTTGGCCCGTTCTTTGCGTAAAAATGTCGGAAAACTGCACTCCACAAAAAGCCAGAACATCACTTTTGACATGCTGATAGATAAATGCTCATATTCTTACTTATTCAGATATGAGACATGTAAGAGGATTCCAGAAGCATGGGTGTTAACCAGAAATAGTAAGGATGAATCACAAAATGAAACCTCCTTGCCAACTATTTACATGCTACTAGGCAGCAAAAAAAGGCTCAAGTCACTAGATGCAGTTTTTTCATGCTTAATTGCTTAGGGGCAGCCAAAGTGCCCCAAACTAATTTTCTGTTCAATTAAAGGTTGCAACACATAGATGGTTGTAGACAAAAACGCTGGGAAAAAACCATTAACAACACAATGTCAACTTGGCAAGTGCAGCCCACCCTGATTAGGTCTAGATATAAAGAAAAATGTAGCATTGAAAGTCTCATATATGTACACCGAGCATGAAATCAAAATAAAATAAAATAATAAAATGAATGATGATAATGCAGTCCTACCAGTGGACTCCCCATTTATCAATAAGAAATGGCTCAGGTCAATCAACAAGTAGGCAGTTTCCAATATTGTGCAAGAATTCAGAAACCAAATTTGGCTACCTTTTGACATTTTCTTGGTTATTTTCCTCAGAGCATCATAAATTCAAGTACTAGAACTTGCTGATGCTACTTGACCTAAGTCCAGGCTATCACAGAGTTGAATTACTAACATCAATTGATTGCTAATGCAACTTTAATATCAACTCAAGCACTAATATGGTCACATACTTTGGTTTCCTTGCTTAATGGTGGGGATGGTTCACCAGACAATCCAACACCAAGGACAAAGAGAGGAAAAAATGAGAAACACAGGAGACAATGTGGAGAAGTCGCCAACAATGCCTTTTGAGCATGCATATTATTTTATATAGAATGTGCATATTTTATAATTTTCCAAGGAATTAATATTTTCAACTCAAAAAAATCTATGCAGATTTGGTTTACAAATATGCACATTCATCCTTCACTTCAAATACAAAAATGGTGTGAAAACGAGAAGGCAATTGGAAGGGTGTTAAAATGAGTGTCATTTGCAAATAAGGTGGATCTAGTGAGAAGTTTCTTTTAAATGAGAAGAATAGATGTGTAACATTACTTTTTTTTTTTTACTAACTAAATGAGAAGGTTTTTATTTGCAGAATTTTCAAAGAGAATGCGCGCGTATATTTTGAGCAAAAGTTTCAAATTTCTTTGTCTCAATTCGCATAATTATCAAGCATAGTATGCATAGATTTTGAACTTTTTTTTGAGCTTTTTGCTATTAGAAAAAAAAAAAAAAAAAAAAAAAAAAAAAAAAAAAAAAAAAAGAGTATGTTCAACCTAAAAAGTATGCAAATTCAAAAAAAAATTCACAATCTTTCTCTCTCATATCAAGAATCTTCTTATAATACCCCTTCCATATTTTTTTATGCAACACTTAGACCCACGCGGAGAGTTATGCGGTTGAGTTGATTTCATTAATATATTCTACAAGGAGGGTTCGTTAAGAATTTAAAATGATTATAAAAAAAAAAGGTGATGGTGGGGAATAATTTATGTAAAGATAAGGAATGTGAGTAAAAAGAAATATTAAAAAGAAAAAAAAAGTGTGGGAAGGGTAGGATTGGATTGGAGACCATGTGAGGAGATAGATAATTATATAGTGTAAAATATTTCCAATTAAAGACGTTTTGTATTTAAAAAAAACCATATATGATTAATTTCACAATCCCAAATCAACCAGCTAACAAACCATATATTAAAGCAACTCATATACTTAAAACTTAGTTCCAATCAACATCTGAATATTGCAACCAATGTTATTAAAATCGCGATTCGGATCCCAATCCACCCAAACGATGTAAATCGTCGGTAGAATCACTACGCGGTAGAATCGGTAGAATCAGTGGAATCGGACCGATTCCACGATTCTATAGATTCCACTTCTGCAAATAGTCTGATTTTCGGAAACCCGTAACTTTTTATTGCGAAATCGGAATTGGGCTTATAATATATCGTTGGAAAGCTCTTAAGGTCTACTTTCTAATAGAATTAGTCCCGTACCCATATCATTTATATATTTTATGTTATAGCCTAAAGAGTATAAGGATGTCATAGTTGAGCCTAACTTTAGTTAGTGACTATTCAATATAAATCAAAATTTTGCTTATGAAACATCAAATTAAAGAACTTTTAATATTTTATTTAACCATTTAAATTTTTTTGGGCAAAAAGAATATATTCATGAGTCTTATGCACTAAACTTTGGGCATATAAAAAACATTTTTATAACAGGAGTTTGTTGTAGTTGTCATTCTTTAGCTATCTGTTTGAAATGAACTAACTTGACACTTAGTCTCTATTATCATCGGATTTTTTATTAGGGGAAACAGTTTTAGGAGTCAACATTATTTTTTTTCATAATTTAACAACAATTGTCTCGTACTCTCATTAATAAGAATGTGTACCAATATTCTGACTTTGTAGTGTACCGTTTGAGTTATGCGCGTGCGGAATTACTTCTTAAACTATTTTATGTTTTTATAGTCAATATTATGTTATCAACAATATATATTTTTGAAGCCCAATTTTTCAATTTTGTAGAATCGTGCGATTCGATTCTAACTGATTGGGTAGAATCCCGATTCTGATAACAACTATTGCAACACATACCAACAAATTGCAAGTTCACGATAGCCAAATATAGATCAATTCAAAACTATTGAAAGTAAGAACATAATAACTTTATGCAGAAAAGTTTAATATCCTTACGTTGAAAGGATTGAAATTAAAATCCTTAAAATTAAAACCACTGCTCTCATATGAACCAGAACCACCTGTTTCTTTGCTTTGTACAAATGCATCATGGCCCATCTAAAAATAAAAAATAAAAACATTAGTAAGTTTTAAAAAATAAAAAGTAACAAAAAAAACAAGGTGCTCTAGTTAAAATTAAACAATATACAGCCACATGATTCACAATGTTACCAAGGGTGGGGAATGGGGAGATAAAGGAAACAAGAGTACTAGGCAAAGACAAGGAATTGAATCAAAACACCCACAACTACCCACCTCGTCTGTTTTGAGGAAGGGAAGGGTATATATTATTTGATTTCATTATGTGTTTGTTCAAAGTATAAATAAATAAATCGGACAGCAAGAACCAGCTACATTACCTACATTTCCACCACTGACCACCATCATGATCAGCCTTCTTGATCACCATGGGCAGTACTTACAGCTACCCAAAACCATCTCTAACCTCCCTAGCCCACAACCCACAGTCCATCACCACCTATTTCCACTCACCATCCCAATAAATAAATTCGACAGCAACAACCTGCTAGAATCCCACCACCGACCATGGCCAGCCTTTCTGATCACCATGGGCAGAAAATATACCTACCTAACACCATCTCAAACCTCCCTAGCCACAATCGGCAGTCCATCACCACCTATTTCCCTCCCCAGCGCCAAAACTCATGCATTTGTATGCTGAGTCTTTAGCTCTTTATTGCTTGAATTTGGTTAGGGGGTAGCAGAACTCCAAACATAAATGGAAAAGGGTGGGGTGGGATAAGAACCAGGTTAGGAGGTAGCAAAAACTCCAAAAATAAAGGAAAAAGAGAAAGGAAATGTTAAAAAGGTTCAAATTCAAATTAACAAGGCTCTAAAAGAGATGTGCCTACATTGCAAAGAAACCGTACAAGCATTTCCTAAACATTTACAGCTTACATTACCTCACGACCTCACGTACAAATATAACTTCCATACTCCGTTGACAAAAATATCTTCCACCAAGTGTTGTCATGCCATACTCAAGAGTCAAGAATCAAACTAAGAGCACCCAATGTGCAAGCTACCAAGTTCTAACTCTTATAAGCCTATTAGACTATTGTTGCACAAGAATAAATGTATATAAAAAGTTGAAGGAGGTGACTCCTTAAAATAGTTCATCCATGAAAGAATGCAATCAGTTTACATCTAAGAATTTTTGCAAACACCTCGTCAGCAATTGGTAATACTAAGTGAGCTTGCTTGCACAAACCACTATATCTTCATTTGTTTCAAAACACCATCAAAAGAGAGTGTAAAGAAGCTCAAAATACTGAAGACATGATAAGATAATGAGGAAAGACAAGATACTAAGGGCATTGATGAATTAAGCAATTTCATACTGATTCCTCACGACATTTTAGTTCTGGATAGAATCTTATCCTAACATTTGGAACATAATTCTAAATAGTTGTATTAAATTAAGCATACACACACCCAAACCCAAAACGAGGAAGAATAAAAACATCACAATTTCCAAGGGACATAATAGGAACTATTGCATCTGATACCCTGTCATGTATTGCACATTCTTACTTACCTGATCATAAGCTGCGCGTTCTTGTTCGTCTTTCAAAACCTATAAATTGACAGAACAAAATATTATGCACCTGAATACATAACTCTAGTATAGAAAGATGATTCAACTATTGTTTAGGACACCAAAAAATATACCTCATGGGCCTTATTGATCTCCTGAAACTTTTTATCAGCATTGGGATCGTCTTTATTCATATCTGGATGATACTTTTTGGCTAACTGTAGCACGTCACCCAACAATAGAAGAAAGTACAAATCAAAATAAATACGAAATACAGAGAAAAACAGCAATTGGTCTCATCAAAGCATTCATATTTATCGCCTTCACTGCCAACATTCAACTTTTCTTGTTTGTACTCTAATTAATTGATGAAGAAGTACAAATCATTGAATTGTAATATCTAATGATGTGAGGCTGAAAGCATACCCCATAGAAAGCTTTCTTGATTTCTGATTGAGTTGCATTCTTGCTCACACCGAGTATATCGTAATAATCTTTTGACAGAACACCTATCAGGAAACAATCAAAGTTGGTATCACAATATTCTATCCAAAGATTTTGCACATTATAATTTCTATGACAGTATTTTTTATTTTATTTTTTTTGGATTATGAAGCTATGGTTTAACCTCTATAGCTCTACAATGCAAAACAATCAAATGAATGTAATAAAAATGATTACCCGAGCCATGAATCGATCTTGTAGCACCAAATACTCCTATTGAAACTCCATTGCGCAACCAGCTTGTGTTCAAGGTATCATTTTTACTAAAGGGGCTGCCAAGAATCCTATTTAATCCACAAATAGACGAAGAAAACGAACGTTGTTGAGCAGCAACTAACAGTTCATATTCCTGAAAACAACAAATTTACACAAAATTCATCAACCCCATTAAACAAAGACAAAGCAACTAACAGTTCATAGTCCTGCAAACAACAAATTTACATAAAATTCAACAACCCCATTAAACAAAGAACAAAAAATGATAAATTTGAGGTCAAAAAATGAGTAATGCACAAAAATTCTTAAACCCCAATTAAACCCTACTCGATTGCAATGAAGAAAAGGAGTTATCAAGTAGCTCCGGCACAGAGTGGTAGCAGTTCTTGATGCTCTTCCTGAAACCCTAATTAGGGACATCTTCAACGGCTTCTAGTCTCTGAAATTCAGAATCTAGAGCGAGAGATGGGAGGTTTAACAATGGGATTTTTACAATTTAGAAAGATCCAGAAATACACCCAAGAATTTTTTTATTTTTAACTATTTTTATTTTAATTAGTTTACAGTTTTACACTATGTTTTATACGTTGCATTCTCTTGCAAGTAAACATTGTGCATTCTTAATTTCTTACATAATTCTAATTATGGACGATTTACTTTTAATAATTCTAACTATGGACGATTTATTTTTAGTAATCTCAATTATGGGGTTAGTTTGCCTCTAGTAGTTCAATGATCGGTAACCTGCTAAAAGGGTAAATTTATTTTTATTTTTTTTAAGAAAATCTACATGTCAGCATGTAATTGTTCCAAAATTAAAAAAAATAAAATAGAATAAATTTAAAAAGAAACCCCAAAATCCATTCAGCCACTTGCCTCCCCTCTTCTCTCCACCGTGAAACCCTAAGGCCCAACCCAGGCCACCGAAAAACCGACCGGCAACTCCCCTAATCCCCTGTAAATGGTCGGCCGACCTTCTCCACTCCCAAAGCAACCCATCCGGTCCACCCCCACCCACTAAACCACCCCTTCCCATCCCTCCTCCTTGCCGGCAAATTAAAAAAAACTTAAATGTCATTCTCCCTCCTTTCCTCCACCTACAAAAACTGCCCCGGGGGCCATTTTCGGGGATCGGGGAAGGGAGGAGCACCGGTTTCGACGATAAGGGGAGTGCGAGGAGTTGTTTTCGAGGGCGGTGAAAGAGAGGAGGGTGGTTTGGGGGGTGCGGATGGGCCAGCTAAGGTGGTTTCGGGGGTTGGGAGGGGTCAGTCGGCCGTTTTAGAGGGTAAGGGAATACGGTCGGTCGTTTTCCAGTAGGCTAGGGTTTGAGCTTTGGGTGTCACGGTGGAAGAAGGGGAGGGGGAAGGTAGCTGTCCAGGGTTTTTGGGTTTTTTTTTTTCTTTTTTAATTTTTTTTTCATTTTTTTTTTCTTTTTAGACCAATCAGGTGTTAACACGTGTCTTGCTAACCTATTATAAAAGGTTTTTGACGACTTGTTATCGGTTGGGACTACTAGTGGCAAAGTGACCCCATAGTTGGGATTCTTAGATAATAAACCTTAGTTGGGATTATTAAAAGTAAATCGTCCATAGTTGGGATTATTAAAGTGTATTTTTCCAAAAATTTAAACATGACTTTTTTTTGAAGTAAACTATAAATACGGTCCCTAACGTATGGAGTAATGGTAAAATACAATCCCGCATCTTTTGTATTTGTGCAATTATAGTCCCTCTTAAGTTTTTTGTGCACAATTAATCCCTCAGCCACCAAGGTTGGTGTTTCTAACCAAATAGTTTAGGGACCATGACTCATATATTTTTTTTTCTTTTTTTTTTCTTGAGAATTTATTTAAAAAAGAATCTTTTAATTATTTATCATTTTTCATCTTTTTTTTTACAGCATTGTTTTTTAAATAAGCTTTAATTATAAATCTAAAGTAATTAAAAACAATACTTTTCTTCAAAAAAAAAAAAAAAAAAACAAAATTCTTTTGACAGGAAAAAATAATAATTAAGCTTTGTCTTTTCATGGCTTCCACTCTCTCTCCCCTTCTTCCCTAACCCTTCCCCCCCCCCCCGATTTTCTCTCTCCTCCCTTCACCCATGGCTTCCAACTCCCTCCCCTCCTCCACCAACAAAACAATGAACAAACCCTAATTTCTCCCTTCAAAATCTCCGCTGAATCCTCCCACCATGACCCCACAATAGCTTGCATCAATAATTTCTCACACTTAAGGGTGTTTAAGAATGGGTTGAATTTGGCCGGATTTAAGGATTTATCTTAGTTAATGGTGGAAATAATCGTGATTCGGGTGGTACGATTACAAGGATTAAAATTACTTCGGTTGATGAAACATTTTAGGGTTGTAATGGCAGTGGTTGTAATGGAAGAGAGGCTTAGGTAACATCGACGAAGCTACCACAAAAGCTATGAACTTAGAAACAGAGAGCAAATTAAAGAACTGACCTTAAATCTTTATGTACAAACAATGGAGGAGGCAGCAGCGAAGGTGGTGGTGGTGGAGGATCGAGGAGGAGAGAGAAAAAAGTTGAGTGAGGCTAATTTGAAGAAGACGAATTTTTTTAGGTGAATTACAAGATTAAAGAAGACTAATTTTTCTAGGTTTAATTCATAATTTCTTGGTGTTTTAGATTTTCTGGGTTTTCTTATTGAATTAGAATTAGTGAGAAGAACAGATAATAAGAATAAGGAGGAGGAGGAATGAGTTGAATTACATGGTTTATTTATTTTTTATTTTTTAAATAAGAATAGGGGATTTTTTATTTTTTTGAAGAAAAAATATTAGAATTTTTGTTTTTGTTTTTTTTTTATTTATTTTATTTATTATTATTGTAGGCAGCATTCGAAGCGCACCTACTTAGGCATGTGGTGAATATGCTTAGCACTCATAGGATGTGGGAATTGACATACAATTAGGGACAACGATTAGGGACAAAGCAAAGTAGGGAGCCGCCAACAAATTTTTAAGGAACTTGTAAACCGTTCACGGATCATTATAAGGAAACCACGATAAGGGACAACGATTGACCCGTGAAGGTTACACCCCATTCATAATCCATGAGATTACTAACACCATATGGTTCGGAACCATGAAAGGAGAATCGGGGATTATGGTACGAAGTGAGTCATGGAGTCACATTCGCCCGTATTGGCCTCTACTCGATTCTTATTGTAAAAAAGTATTCCTGCAATCTCAAAGGCATACAAACAAAGATTCAATTTGCTCCAAACTAATATTAGGCTAAATTGGTTGAATGCTAATGCAACATATAATTCTAAAATACTGTGACCACTTGGTTAAAGAATAAGATTAAAAAGGAACCTAAACCGGCCGTCCAACTATCTTATTAAGCGTTATATTAAATTACATATTCCCTTTATCATGCAATGTGATGATCAATACAATAATAAAATCATCATTAACATTGGAAGCAATTAATAACGTTAGTCAAATCAAAGCATAATAATAAACCTAATCATGGTACTAGCAATAAGAATAATAATAAGAGTAATTAAGTGAATAAATTACTCAAGTTCCGCACTTCTTTAAATTGCTACATCATGAATAAAAATATTAGTAACTTCAAAGAATAATAAATAAAATTGAAATAAGATTAAAGGAAAATAGAGTTGATTTGGTCCAAACCCTTAATCGGTTCTACCTTTCACGCCTTGATTTAATTATGGAACTTCGGGTGTTGTGTGGAATCCTTGGAGTGCTTAGGGAAAGAATGGTGTAAGGTTTAAGGCTTAGAATATGAGAGAGAGAGATTAGAATGTGTGTTGGTGCCCAGAAACCGGTGAAATCAGCTTCATATTTATAGAGAAAATATGAGGGGTGAGGTACGGAACCCTAGAATTAAAGGCGCCGCGAAATGAAACCTTAGAAAATTGCCGTGGCGCGGCAGATTTTGTCGTGTCGCGACATTTGTGTTTTCCCAAAATCCGTCCAAATTCATTCTAACCTTTTTTCTTAAGCATTAAGCACGTGATAATTAGACGTCGTGTTAGCTATTCCAGACTTATTTCAGGTTTAGGGTTTTATTATTTATTAATAGGGCTTAATTAATAAATAACACGAAATGAATTAAAAAGAATTTGGGCTGTAATGCGAGTTGGACTGAGTTTAACTAAATGTTTGGACTAATTTGTGGACTGAATATGTTTGACTGGATATGGATTTTAAGCACTATCGAGATTAAATACTCGACCCGACCAATAATGGCAGTGAAAGATTGTTCATCATCGGGTTTGGTTTTGGGGAGACATTTTTAGGTGTCTACAATTATTAACAGGGGTGTTTTGGGAATTTTAAATAAAATTTTGAATAAAAAAAAAACAAACAAAAACAAAAACAAAAACAAAAAAAAAATAAAAATAATGAGTCATGATTCCTCAACTTTTGCTGACTAGGCTTAGTCCCTCAACTTTTGGGTGTAAAACACCAAGAGTGGTGGTTGAGGGACTAATTGTGCACAAAAAACTTAAGAGGGACTAAAAGTGCACAAATACAAAAGTTGAGGGACTGTTTTTACCTTTACTCCTAACGTTTGGTATAAGTTTGGTTTTAGTTCCTCGTGTTTCAAAAGTTTGAATTTGGTCCCTCTACCACCACTTTGGGTGGTTAATTTGCTGATTAGACCAAACATTAGGGACCTTGGGTGTCGACTGGACCAAACATTAAGGACATTTGCTGCTGAATATACCAAACATGGGGGACCTTGATTATTTTTTTGGAATTTCTTGCTGAATAGACCAAACATTAGGGAGTTCAGATAATATCATTACCATATATAACAAAATAAGAAACTGTTAAAACTTTAGGGACTGCAATAAATGTCAAATGGAATTTTTAACAGTAAAGTAAACTGAAATTCAATGTGTTTATAAAAAACTAGTCGTTACAAGTTCAAAAGGGCTATTTAAACTAATTTATCTTCAACACAGAAGCCATAACTCAAAGCAAATCCAAAAAATCCAGGAGGTTGAAGTTGTTCCTCAAGACTGTTCTTGAATTTTTTTGCCAAAAACAAATAAAATTTGTTGTCAGTTTCTGAATCAAGGCAATGTCTAGCAACAGTAGGGGTTCATTTGGTAGTGGTATAACTTGATTGTGGTCTTCCATTGTCAAGGACCAGATCATGGGCTAAAGATAATCCAAGAAGAAGGTATAGGATTTTCAAGTGGTTTCATGGCATGTCCAGATTATGATGCAGATACTAACCAAAGGGGGTGTAGGGTTTTCAAGTGGTTTGATGAAGGACAGACTGACTGTCAGAAAGATGTGATTTTAGGCTTAATAGAAGATAAAAAGATGTTAAGTGCTAATGTTGAGCACCTGAATGAAGGTGAATATGAATGAAGCAAAGGACAATGCAAGGAAGATGTAGACAGAGTATTTGATGCTAAAAATGAAAAGGGAAAAGGGAAGGGTTTCTGTAGGGTTCAAGTGTGAAGTGTGGGTGTTAATTGCATTAGTAGCAGTGTGTGTTGGTGTTTATGTGCTTAACAAAGTTGTCAATTAAGGAGTATTTGTACTAATAGAGCTACTTTATGTATTTGAGTTCA